AGGGTGTGATAGGGTATAGGTGATGGGGTGTAGGTCATCGGGGTGTAGGTGATCAGGGTGTGATAGGGTATAGGTGATGGGGTGTAGGTCATTGGGGTGTAGGTGACTAGGGTATAAGTGATTGGGGTATAGGTGATCAGGGTGCGATAGGGTATAGGTGATGGGGTGTAGGTCATCGGGGTGTAGGTGACTAGGGTATAAGTGATTGGGGTATAGGTGATCAGGGTGTAGGTGATGGAGTGTAGATGATCGTGGTGTAGGTGATGGGTTATAGGTGATCGGGGTGTAGGTGATGGGATGTAGGTGATTGGGGTCAAGGTGATAGAGGTGTAGGTGATGGGGTGTTGGTGATCAGGGTGTAGGTGATGTGGTGTAAGTGATTGGGGTGTAGGTCATCAGGGTGTAGGTGACCAGGGTATAGGTGATGGGGTGTAGGTGATCGGGGTCAAGGTGATTGAGGTGTACGTGATGGGATGTTGGTGACCAGGGTGTAGGTGATCAGGATGTAGGTGATGGGGTGTTGGTGACCATGGTATAGGTGATCAGGGTGTAGGTGATGGGGTGTAGGTGATTGGAGTATCTGTGATAGGGATGTAGATGATCAGGGTGTTGGTGACTGGGGTGTAGGTGATTGGGGTATAGGTGATCTGAACTTCCTACTCAATTCAGGCAGCAGCTCCCAGCCTGAGGCAAATACCCCCCAGGCAGACAGGATGAGGAAACCTCCTCCCCTGCCCCGCATGGCCAGCTGCGCACATTTTACCCTATCAGGGTCTTGCCTCCCACGGCTCTGACGCAGGCCTTCAAGGTGAGGAGATGGAGGTAGCAGAGTTCACTGCACTCGGCTGTCACGCACCCTGAGGGAACTCCTGGCATTGTTATCCCGCCTGTAAGTGAGGAGCCAGCATTCCTCATTCTCCAGGGTTGGCCCCAAAGCCCATTCAAGGGAGGGAGAAGAGCCTTCAGCCAGCGCATCCTAACCGCAGAAAGTCAAGACCTCTGCAGAAAAAGAGACCAGGCCCATAAAAAGAGACCCAAGAGTTGAGTTTCCTGCCATGCCACTCCCAGGCATCTCTGCCCACCAGCCTGCGTGAGCCAGCCCCTCAGTGCACGTTTTTCCAATTGGCCATTTGTTCTTCCACCCAACACTCAAGATTTGCTTCTCAGCCTGGACTACATAGCAAAACTCCATCTCTACAAAAAATACAAAAATTAGCTGGGCATAGTGGCATGCACCTGTAGTCCCAGCTACTTGGGAGGCTGAAGTGGGAGGATTACCTGAGCCTGGGAGGTCAAGGCTGCAGTGAGCCATGATCGTTCCACTGCACTCCAGCCTGGGCGACAGAGTGAGAACTTGTCTCAGGAACAAAAAAAAAAAGAGAGGAAGTTCTGCTTCTTCAAACCCACACAACTAATACAAAGTAATCAACCTCCCCACCTCAATAACCTGAAATTAAACATCACACAATAAGCCCTGAACAAAGAGCTGTAGGTCAATGTTCCATTTTGCTTTTAAAAGCTTCACAAGAACATTTCATTTATTAAAATAGTTTCTGTAAACTCTTTCAGAATAACAAAATTCATTTTCCTTGCTTAAACAGCATTTCAAGTAGAAGTATTTTTATTTCAAGGCACCATAAAATGATGATCTCTCTAAGAAATACCTCTCCTTCCATGTGTGAAAATCCTTGGGGGGAAAAAAAAATCCCACACGGTGTTCTTGGCCATCAGGATCATTGAAAACAAACTTTGGTGAATGCGAGCAACTGCGCCAGACAGGACACAGGTTACAGGGCCTGATGTCACTACGGTAACTGACAACCTTGGAACGGACCCTACTGCTGATGTTTCAAAAGGACACAGAGGTGAACTGGTCACTTCTAATTAAGAAGAGCCAGCGGGGTGGGGGACGCTGAAAACCAAAAATCCACGTAGACATACGTGGCAGTGTGAACGTCTGTCCTCCCCTTCCTTCTCCTCACTTCCTCTCCTCCTCCTCACTCAGGCTGGTATTCTCCTGGTGTGCGGACGTCAGCTTGCCCTGCAAAAGGGCTGCCAGTTTTTTCGATGTCTTTTTGAGAAACGAGCTGCCCGGGTGAGCACTGTTCACGTGAAGGTACAGGTCCTCCTGGGTGGGGCCCGTGTAGCCGCAATCCTCGCAGACGTAGAGCTTGTCCCGCCGCTGCTTATAGGCGTACTGCTGCTGCACCCCGTGGATCTTCTTCAGGTGGGACTCCAGAGAGCAGCGCTGGGTGAAGGCTTTATTGCAGACGTTGCATTTGTAGGGACGAATACCTGCAAGGACGAGAGACAGAAACAGCATCGATTGGTCATGGCCAAGCCAGAACCACCCAACTATGAAGCCAGTAAAAGTCATCCTGACCAAGGATTCATGGCAGCATGAGGACAATGGTTACAGCAGGAGACAAAACTGCCTACAAAAAATCATAGCATCCACCTGAGCAAACCTAACACAAACAGATGCCAACATAGGGAAAAAAGCCAAAAACAAACAAACAAACAAACAAAAACCACCGGCTTATGGGAGGAAGATTTTTATTCTTCCAACTCGCATACCTTAACGTTTTCATATTATTGTGAGCAAAGTAAACTTTTTTAAAAAAAATTAATTCAGGTCAGGTGCAGTGGCTTACGCCCGTAATCCTAGCACTTTGGGAGGCCAAGGCGGGCAGATCACTTGAGGCTAGGAGTTCGAGACCAGCCTGGCCAACATGGTGAAACCCCATCTCTACTGAAAATACAAAAAACTAGCCAGGCATGGTGGTGAGCACCTGTAGTCCCAGCAGCTCGGGAGGCTGAGGCAGGAGAATCACTGGAACCTGGGAGGCAGAGGTTGCAGTGAGCCGAGATCGAGCCACTGCACTCCAGCCTGGGCAACAGTGAGACTCCATTAAAAAAAAAAAATTAATTTGGGTTTTCCCAGAAACAGAGCCTGGGACAAAGATTCTAGTACCAGTAGTTTATTTGAGAGGTGATCCTGGGAATAACCTATAGGGCAACAAAGATGTGAGGCAGGGAGGGGTAGGATCCAGTACAGGGGGAGCTACCCAGCCAGTTACCAGGGTCCAGTCCTGTTGTGCAATGCAGGGAGACAGTGTGGCACACACCTTGGCGTCATCTTGCCCCTCCAGGAGCTGAGGTCAGTCACTGGCTGCCGGCTGCTCCTGGGTGGCTTTGATTCTCCATCCCCAGCACTTCTGCCTGCCTTGTGCAGACACACTGGGCTCCAGCAGGAAACCTCTCCAGCAGAGGTGCAAGCGTGGGCAGTTGCCACTTGGACTGGTGTGCCCAGAAATGGCAGATGCCCAGGCCATTGGCAGGATACTGAGGCATTTGTTGCAGTTATGAAAATCATTTCCAAACAAGATATGCTGGCGTTAGAACTGGGCTAACATTAGACCTGCCTTCTAGCTGAGATTTCACAGGTACAATATAGAGCAGGGAGTTCAGCCTCATCAAAGCACTGCCGCTCCTACCTCCATGACTGGTACTCACCCTGATGTGTGTGGCAGAATGTCAGATAAAGAATATAAACATGGACTCTGCGTGTATGCAACAGACTATTTGGATGAGCTTGGACAGTGCAGTATTTTACATACTTGCCAGAGCCTCAGAATCACCTGGAGAGCTTTTGAAAATCTTAACTCACTTCTCCTAAGACCAACTCAGTGGGTCTGGGGTAGGAATCAGGAATCTATTTATTTATTTATTTATTTATTTATTTATTTATTTATTTATTTATTTGAGACAGAGTCTGGCTCTGTTGCCCAGGCTGGAGTGCAGTGGCGAGATCTCGGCTCACTGCAAGCTCTGCCTCCCGGGTTCACACCATTCTCCTGCCTCAGCCTCCCGAGTAGCTAGGACTACAGGAGCCCGCTACCATGCCCAGCTAATTTTTGTATTTTTAGTAGGGACGGGGTTTCACCGTGTTAGCCAGGATGGTCTCGATCTCCTGACCTCATGATCCGCCCGCCTCGGCCTCCCAGAGTGCTGGGATTATAGGCGTGAGCCAACGTGCGAGGCCCAGCAATCTATTTTTAACAAACGTCACTGGATATTCCAGTGTTTAACTTGGCTTTCAAGAGCTACCGATTATGGTCTTTAAGACTCTGGTTGTGGTCTTGCCTGAGGTCACGTAAGGTAGTGGCAGGGCGGAGACCTCAGAGCACACCCAGCTCAGTACCCTCCACCAGCAAAGGTCACCCCTCGAGCCAGTGGCTGAACAGGAGGCTCACACTCAAAAAGAAGGTTGGGATTTAAAGATGGAACAATAGACACTGGGGACTACCAGAGGGAGGGGCCGAGGGCTGAGAGACTCCCCATTGGGTATTATGTGCACTACCTAGGTGACGGGATCATCTGGACCTCAAATCTTAGCGTCATGAAATGTACCCATATAAACAGACCTGCACATGTACCCCCTGAATCTAAAATCAAAGTTGAATTTTTTTTTTTAAAGGTTGAGACTGGTATGTGAGAGAAGCAAGCACACTAAGCCAAAATCTCACATGACAGATTCTAGGAAATTCCTGTAGGTCATATCAACAAGTTTTATTGGGCTTTAAGAAACGAATTATCTGGGTGCTGCACAGTGACTCATATCTGTGATCCTAGCACTTTGAGAGGCTGAGGTGGGTGGATCACCTGAGGTCAGGAGTTTGAGACCAGCCTGGAAAAACCCCGTCTCTACTAAAGATACAGAAATTAGATAGGCATGGTGGCACATGCCTATAATCCCAGCTACTGGGGAGGCTGAGGCAGAAGAATTGCTTGAACCCAAGAGGCAGAGGTTGCGGTCAGTCGAGATTGTGCCACTGCACTCCAGCCTGGGCGACAGAGCGAGACTCCGTCTCCAAAAAAAATAAATAAGTAAGTAAATAAATAAATAAATAAATAAATAAAATTAAGAAATAACCATAGTAAGGTCTAACTTAGGCTCTCAAAGAGAGGCTATGGCTGTGAAGGAGACACAGTCACAAAAGCATGGAAGCTGAGAGAGGGTGAATATGGTACTGGGGGTACATGGAGCACAAAGGGGCCACTGCCACAGCTACGAGACCATTTTAGAGCCTAGAGACAGGAGGGATGCCACCTGGAGGAACCCGCAGACCCTGTACAGATTCCTGGACCTGCCTCAGGGACCCCAGGCACTAGGTCAGGGGCTGGGACTAGGAAGCTGCAGTTTTCTTTTTAATATTTTATTTTATTTTATTTTATTGAGACTGAGTCTTGCTCTGTCACTCAGGCTGAAGTGCAGTGGCACAATCTCGGCTCACCGCAACCTCTGCTTCCTGAGTTCAAGCAATTCTCCTGCCTCAGCCTCCCGAGTAGCTGGGACTACAGGTGCCCACCACCACAGCCGACTAATTTTTTTTTTTTTTTTGAGACAGAGTCTCGCTGTGTTGCCCCGGCTGGAGTGCAGTGGCGCGATCTCGGCTCACTGCAAGCTCTGCCTCCCGGGTTCATGCCATTCTCCTGCCTCAGCCTCCTGAGTAGCTGGGACTACAGGCACCCACCACCACGCCCGGCTAATGTTTTGTATTTTTAGTAGAGATGGGGTTTCACCATGTTAGCCAGGATGGTTTCGATCTCCTGACCTGGTGATCCGCCCGCCTCGGCCTCCCAAAGTGCTGGGATTACAGGTGTGAGCCACCGTGCCAGGCACAGCCAGCTAATTTTTGCATTTTTAGTAGAGACAGGGTTTCACAGTGTTGGCCAGGCTGCTGTCAAACTCCTGACCTCAGGTGATTCACCTGCCTTGGCCTCCCAAAGTGCTGAGATTACAGGCATGAACCACTGTGCCTGGCCCTAATAGTTACCTTTTATTAAAATATAAAAAATAGGCTGGGTGCAGTGGCTCATGCCTGTAATCCTAGCACTTTGGGAGGCCGAGCTGGGTGGATTGTCTGAGGTCGGGAGTTCGAGACTTGCCTGGCCAACACAGTGAAACCCCGTCCCTAATAAAAATACAAAAATTAGCCTGGTGTGGTGGCCCACATCTGTAATCTCAGCTACTTGGGAGAATGAGGCACGAAAATTGCTTGAACCCAGCACACAGAGATTGCAGTGAGCTGAGATAGTGCCACTGCACTCAAGCCTGGGCAATAGAGCGAGACCCTGTCTCAAAATAAATAAATAAATAAATAAACAAAATAAATAATCAAAGGTTACTATTAATAGTTGTTTAAATTTAAAAGTAATATACCCCCAGTTTTATGGTGAAAAACAGCAGTAAATTAAAAAAAAAAAAAAAAACAGAAAAGATCCCTTTGTCACCCATGCACCTCTCCTTCCCTAGTCCTGACTCTCAAGTTTCTTGTGATGCTTCATGTTTTCTACAAATTATATATACATACATTTTATTTTATTTTATTTTTTGAGAAGGAGGCTCGCTCTGTCTCCCAGGCTGCAGTGCAGTGGCACGATCTTGGCTCACTGCAACCTCCGCCTCCTGGGTTCAAGCGATTCTCCTGCCTCAGCCTCCCAAATAGCTGAGACCACAGGTGCCTGCCACAATGTCCAGCTAACTTTTGTAATTTTTAGTAGAGACCAGGTTTCACCATGTTGGCCAGGCTGATTTTGAACTCCTGATCTCAGGAGATCCACCTGCCTCGGCCTCCCAAAGTGTTGGGATGACCGGCGTGAGCCACCACACCCGGCCTACATATATATTTTAAGATTAATAAATATATGTCATCTCTGGGTGTTGCCTGAGCAGGAGAATTTTTTAAAGCTTCCCCAGGAAGCTCTAGTGTGCAGCCAAGTATGAAAACGAGCGTTCTAAATAAATGCACATTCACACTGGCATATGCACGTATGTATATTTTTCTGAAACATAAACCTGGGGTTCTGGAGAGAAAGTCTGGAGGGTGGTGAAAGCTTACACTTGTCATTGCGTCCCTGTCTGTACTACTTCCCACCCCCAACCACCTGCCAGTATTAATGATAATAATTTTCATATTAACTGTGGTTCCTCCTGGGCAGTGGAATGACAATGAATCTCCCACCTTTTCTCTTAAAACTATTCTAGGATAGGTGCATGGCTCACGCCTGTAATCCCAGCACTTCGGCAGGCCAAGGCAGGAGGAGCTCTTGAGTCCAGGAGTTCGAGACCAGTGTGGCGAACATGGGGAGATCCCCATCTCTACAAAAACACTAAAAAATTAGCTGGGTATGGTGGCATGCCCCTGTGGTCCCAGCTACTCAGGAGGCTAAGGTGGGAGAAATGCCTTGAACCTAAGAGTTCAAGGTTACAGTGAGCCATGATTGCGCCA